GGCGCGTACGTTACCAGCGGGAAGTGGATTCTCGGATAGGGCACCAAGTTGGTCTGGAATTCCGTTAGATCGACGTTCAGGGCACCATCGAACCGCAGAGAGGCCGTGATGGACGATACAATCTGGCCGATCAGGCGATTAAGATTCGTGTAGGTTGGTCTCTCGATATCCAAATTGCGACGACAAATGTCGTAGATTGCCTCATTGTCAACCATAAATGCGCAGTCGGAATGCTCAAGGGTAGTGTGCGTCGTCAGGATAGAGTTGTACGGTTCGACCACGGCGGTGGAAACTTGTGGTGCGGGATAAATGGCGAATTCGAGTTTCGACTTCTTGCCATAGTCAACAGACAAACGCTCCATCAACAGGGACGTGAAGCCTGAACCGGTGCCACCGCCGAATGAGTGGAAGATGAGGAATCCTTGCAAACCGGTACATTGGTCTGCGAGCTTGCGAATGCGGTCCAGCACGAGATCAACGATCTCCTTGCCAATCGTGTAATGACCGCGAGCGTAGTTGTTTGCAGCATCCTCCTTGCCAGTGATCAATTGTTCCGGATGGAAGAGCTGACGGTAAGTTCCAGTGCGAACCTCATCTGTACATACAAACGTTCAAGTAAGTAAAACTTATTAAGTATCAATATCAAAGAGTAAGGATTAAATATACATACCGACTACAGTAGGTTCCAAATCGATAAAGACAGCTCTGGGTACATGCTTGCCGGCACCAGTCTCGCTGAAGAAGGTGTTGAAACTGTCGTCTCCACCTCCGATAGTCTTGTCTGACGGCATCTGACCGTCCGGCTGGATGCCATGTTCCAGGCAGTACAGCTCCCAGCAAGCATTACCAATCTGTACACCGGCTTGTCCAACGTGGATTGAGATGCACTCACGCTAAATGAATTAAATGGACATTAATATCATATCTAATCGTATCATGCTCAGGTTTTTATTAAACATCGACAAATGACTAATATTCTTTCCAGCAAGAAATACATGTTGATACAAGTCATTGGATGTTTTCCAATTTATGATAAGTCGACACAAACATCGTTCTATCTTTCTTAACATTCCATGGCGTCAGGAAAACACTATTAGTGTTTTATGTTATACTATATTTGTTCCAAATACAATGAACGATAAAAATAGAATGACAAATATCACCTTCCTAAACGCATTGTAACAAAGACAATGATATTTGTGTAGATTTGTATCTAAATGGAAAGTGCCCTTTATCTCTGGATGCATTCAAAGGTCGGTATTCATAGTTGATTCTTATTTCAAGACCATCTTAAGTAATGTCTTAAGTAATGTCTTAAGACGCTAATGCGGCCCTCTGGCCGGTATTCATAGTCAGTTCTTATATTCAAGATCATCTCAAGTTCAGCCTTGAGGTGTTACGAACCAATAAGAGAGCCACATTAGCGTATTAAGACATTACTTAAGACGGTCTTGAAATAAGAATCGACTATGAATACCGGCCTCTGATTGGTTCGTGACATCTTAAGATTGTACTTAAGACGGTCTTGAATATACTATAAGACCTGACTATGAATATCAGCCAAAGATATGATTTGACTGCATTCATTGTTATACATCTAATGGACGATAAAAAATGAGATCCACTTGACACTATAAATATTGTAAAGTACTTGATTGACCAATCAAAAGAAAAAAATTTTACTAATTGACCGATCACAAAAAATACTTTGAAAGATTTGTAGCATCAATAAACTCGTAGATAAAAACAGTATTAGCGTTGAAAGAGCGATCACGAAATGTAATCTCCCATTCAATGTCAAACAAAGAGTGTTCAAAGGACGCTTTCCATTATATGTACGATATATTTACTGCGAGTATACCGAAAATCTATAATATACATGTCGTGTATTATAGTTTTAGTACTTGCAGTGAACATAACGAAATGTAGTCCAAGCAGCTAGCCTGCTCGTCGAGCAATTGAACATAATTAATTCTTATAATATAAATCTGGACTACACTACAAAACGTTCTCTCTAAGGAAAATTTTACTTGAAATATATAGTATACATAACGTATTTATACTATATTATAGAGTAAAATTTTTCTCGAAGAGGACATTTTGGAAGAAACACCGATTCAATCGTTCGGCGAACGGATTTGACCGGCTTAAACGTAGCTAATGATTTTCTTGCTAGAAACTTTCAATGATGGAAGTTCCCACAATTGAGTGAAAGCGTCATATTGATTTTCTGAAAAGACATCGAGGTCAATGGCTTTGCTCATAGAATATGTTCGAAGACTTGGATTTATAATGGAGACAGCGACTTTCTTTGAGTAGCAGAGAATAATAATGGCAAGAATTAATCGGGTAAGCGATACACGAATCCTTGCAACTTTTAAAGGCGGGGCGACGCAATCTAAATTTAGCAAACGCCACGACCGGCCGGCGTTTAACCGTTACAAAATGGCCGTCGTCTTTAACGAGAATGGGCGACGCCGACACGTCAAAGCTGCGATCGTGCTCGCAGAAGGAAAATCCGACGATTCAGTGACTTACCATTTTGTATTACGAGTTGTTCGTTGTCCTCTTAGAAAATGGAACGAGATATAGCCACCACGGGGCGATCGATAGTTGGCGAAAGCAAGTAATGGAGCTTTTGCTAACAACTATACGACGCACGATCGGCGACCAGCGACTATTGGGCGTGCGGCGTCTACTACGCGCAATTTATACCCGCTGGAATCGACCGTTCCAGCGCGCGCTGATTGGCCGACGGTGACGCCGTGCCGCGCGACGATTGGCTAGCCGCTGGACCGCAGCACTCATCACGCCCGACCGCATTTCTCCTCCGCGGAACAATATAGTCCGTTAACGCTCATTCGAATTATTATTCCTAATAAAAAATCAACTCTTGCCTCCTTCTGAATCCCACGATCGTAATTTAAAGAACATAATCGCGTAATCTATCTTTAAGAATGATGAATTCTCTGCAAAATTTCGGCGGAGTTCCGTTTCGCTGTCACTAGGCAGGACCACGTAACGGACGTTGCCTCAATTGCACCATATATGGGCCGCATCTTTTCCAAAGCACAGCCGAATCGTTTCTCTCTGATCATTTCTTTTTTTGGCATAACGGAGACCCACCCACGGAGAGTCTGACGAAAGCAAGGACGATGATCGAACCGTTTCGCCGGACGGATCGATCCTTTGCCGCATAATTCCGCAATTTCCTAATTGTCCTCGCGTTAGATGATTCGTTGTCTCAATATCTAGATAGTGCGTTATACGAATGTATACACATTTCATGATCTGATTCCTCTTCGAGTTTTTGGTCGAATGAGCTCCATGCCGGTAATGACCGTGCTGCTGTATAAGTACAGTTATATTGCTTTTATGCTAGGATAACTCGAGAATCGACGAAGAAAAGTAGCTGAAAACGTAGTACATCTTCAGTTGACGCTGACATTGTTATATATTTATAGCTTTCAACCACGATGAAATAATTAGTAAATTATATAAAACAAAAAATACGATAAAATTTTATCAATGTCAAATTGAATATAATTAATTTTAATAATGAATTTTCTAGAATATTTTTGAACGTCATGAACAGTTTATTTGTTTCAAAAACAAAAAATTTAGATAATTTCTCTTTCTAGTAATAAATCTCGCCTTTAAAATTCGTGCTTCACGACACGCAGTGTCCTTATAATTTAATTAATTAATTTCTTTTGATTGGAAAGTAATTTTTTTTAATTGGATATTTTTAATTATAGAAAAGTATGGGGTAGAGATAATTATCGTAATATATGTGCAAAGTAAATTACAAATTGGAGGTAAAAAAATAATAAATGTATTTTAAAGAATAAATTTATTTTATGCCAGAATTTTGTATATAAATTTTTGGACGGATTAAACAATCTACTGCCACATATATTGTCCTTTTTGTAATACGATATTACTTCTTTTTATGTACTTAATGAGAAGAAAGCGACAAATTAATGTTTCGACGTTTCTGTATTGGCTATATTTGCTATATATATGGTTCAATAATATGATGTGGCAGATGTGTTTCCCGTTGAGTGTATTAAATGTATGTACAGTGAGTGCAAAAAATATTCGTACAGAGAAAATATTTTTTTAAATAACTTTATTTTTAAAAAGTAAATATTATCCACAGCGAGAAATGAGTCATCGAATTAATATCAAATCGATATAGGTGATGATTTCAACACCAATTTGATGTCAATTCGACGTTTAATTGACGATTATTTCTTGTTGGGTAATTAACAATTTATTCATAAAGAATAAAATAAATTGTATGTTTCTTAAAATTATATATATCAAAAAGATGTGTATTAATTATAGAAAATATATCATCTAAAAAATAAACGAAAATTAAAAATTGTATGTTTGGATGCTCAAAAAGTATTTGTCGAGAAATTTGGCTTTTAAAATCAGGAATACATGCTCGTTTGTTTATGTTAGAATAGAATGTATTCATTGTATAAATTGTATTGTTAATTAATGTTTATTTTCTACAAATAAGATTTTTTTTATAACAAATTTCCTTGTACGAATGCTTTTTGTTCTCACTGTATATACGGCATTCAAACGGAAGCCGTTATGATACCTTTCTTAATGAGATTGAGAACGCAACAATGATACATTATCAGATACAAACAGCGAGCATTAAACTCGTATCAAATTATTGGAAATTGAAGTTTGCGAATTAAAAATTAAATTTTAATTAAATTTTTTAATAGGAAAAACTAATCTTAGCTGCTTGTTTCCATTGATTAAATTTGAATTTTCAATTTACTATTTTCGATTTTTTTATGACGAATATATTCCAAAATTGGACAAAATTCAGCAACGATTCCGCAACACCATATTGGACGTTTTTAGGAACACATTCTTTTTTTTTATCATTCAAAACAAAAATTCGGTAGCGCCCTCTCTTTTTCTTATTGCGATGTATTTTTAGAAAGTTGACTATTTTTCAGTCGGTACGGATTGGTACGGATTGAAGCAATAGATGTTAGGTTAGGTTAATTTCATATTGACGTATGCGTGTTTGCTCGTGCATGTGTGTACATACAATATTGATAATTAAAATTATTTACATGATTGTCTCGTGATAATATTAATTTTTAATTTTTCAAAGTCAACGTTATCATAAAACCAAGACGAATGAGATAAAAATAAACTTGATCTATGCAAAAATGCAAGCAGAAGTAAATAGTATATTGGAGGAGTCACTGCAAAAAGCCAGAGAATATGACAGGATTGGAAATGTTGGGGAAGCTTTTGCATATTACATTATCTTTGCAAAACTGTCTGCAAGGAGATCAGAAATTGAAGAAACATTTACAGATGTGCTGTGTAAGATATGTGTATAATCTATATTTATACTTATATATAGGAGAAACATATATATTTTTATATAATAATATATAATAATATTTATTTTTTAGGTGAATGGGGAATGCAGTTAGCAAATGACAACAAATTTTCAGATATTGTAAGCTCCTACAAATTTTCCTTGAATATTTATCCAAATAATCCTCGTATGCTAAATAATTTTGCAGCACATTTGTTGAGGTAATCTCTACATTATATTATGCATATACTAATTTTTCAATTATCTTTACAATAAATTCTTATCATTATTATTCCTGATCTAAAAAAAGACTCATAGAATGCTGCATATACTTGTTAAAGGAATAACCATCCCATAAGGGCAATAGAATATTTAAAAAGAGCTTTGAAAGTTGATGTTAACTTCCTACCGGCAGAGAGAAATTTGCAAAATGCATATAGTATGGCAGTGGATAGGTGGCATTTCACAATGCTTAATGACAAGCAGAGAAACAATGCTTTTGAGCGAGCCATACGTAAGAGAGTCAATCAGGGGTATGATACGGTATTGGATGTAGGGACGGGTACAGGTCTTTTGAGTCTATACGCAAAGGATGCTGGAGCCAAAAAGGTTTATGCATGTGAATGCTCTGAAGCAATGACACTGATTGCGAAAGAAGTATTTGAATCTAACAATGCAGGTGACATAAAATTAATATCGAAACTGTCGTTCGATCTTAAAGTACCTATGGATATTTCAGAAAGGTTTGTGTATATATGCATGTGTATAATACAGTATATATATATGTACCTTTTAAAATTATTTGTACTAATTTATTACAATATTATGCATTGATTAATATTAAAACCATTACCTGTAATTCTAGAGTAAAATTAATAGTGACTGAAACATTTGATGCTGGCTTATTTGGAGAGCTTGTAATACCATCTATGATTAACGTACACATGAATATTTTAGATTTAAATGGTATGGTAATACCTATGGGCGCGACGGTTTACACAGCAGTTATTGAATGTGAATACATAAGATACAGATCGTCAGTGGTTTTTGACAAGATAAAAGAGCACTGTCCTTTAAACTTTGATAATGTGTCTATATTGTCAGACGATGAATATTATGATACAGAAAACCTAGAGAAAGTTCAAATGAATTACATTACAGAGCCGCAGTTGCTTTTTAATGTGAATTTTAATAATCTATTGGAATTATATGAATTCTGCAAAGATGGAATAAAGCAGATGTTACAAACAAAATGTAGATACGATGGTATCATAGATGGTTTAATTACTTGGTTCAAGTTACATCTTGACGAGGAGGTCACACTGGATTCTTCGGATGGGAAATCTTGTTGGCAATTTGCTGTTTTCCCAACGGTGCCAACTGTATGTCACGAAGGTGATGTATTGACGATAAAAGCAGAAACTTTGAAGAGCAAACTGAAATGTTCTTATAGCACGAGTAATGAACGTTATAGTGAAAATTGTACAACTTTGTATCATTTGCCAAAAGAAGTCATTGCCTTTCTAAACGACTTCAATTATGTCAAATTGCTCACAAAAATTGGTAGATCTCAAAAGAATAGAAAAATGAAATATATTTTGGATACTTCGCCTTTTCCAATCTACGGATTGAATCTTTTAAAGGAATGTAAAGATAGTGAAATTTTATATTACAAAACTGACAATCCAACGCTACGTATTCTAATTGAACAAGTAGCCCGTGATAGCGAGGTGCAAGAGAAAATACATATGATATCAAGTTATGAGGAAATTCCATATTCTCTAGATTCCATATTTGTTTACAATTTTGATATTAAAGGTGAATTAAAAGATGACCAAGGTAGTTGTTATGAAATTGCCAGGTACTGTATTATATTGCATATAATTACACATTGCATGCTTTATATAATTATAAAATATTAAAATTTGTTATTATTGTATTACCTTAGGAATTTGCTTAAAACAAATGGCGTATTATTGCCAGAGAAGATTTTTCTTATGGGACAGTTAGTATACTCAAAGGATTTACCAAATATGGTTTATGTAAAAGATGCAAATCTTCAAAGATCGTCTTCATTTCACACTTCTACTGATACGGTATAATGATACATAGTATTTAATCATGTAATTTATATTTAAGTAAAAGACAATTTTATGAAAAAGAATGATTAAAAATAAAATTTTGCAGAACTTATTTGTCTAAAATGACAGTAAAATAAACGAATATATTTTTCTTTTCAGAGTTCAGACAGTGAAGATGGTCTACATATGCGGGAAAATATAACCAATAAAGTAAATAAAAGTACAAATTACATAATTGCTGAATACATTAATAAATATAAGGTATGTCCATGTGTATAATTCAATACTAGATTGAAATGTTGATTTTTATTTCCATGTTTAATTTGTTACAGATCAACCAAATATTTGATTTGAATTCAAGTTTATATTCATGTGAAATTATGTCTGAGGTACGAACACTGATAGAAATAAATGAAACAGAGACTACTGAAACAATCGTGAATTTTGGAGAAATAAATAATAAAGAAGGGAAAATTTTACCAAATGCCTTAATATGTTGGTACAAGATTCAACTCAGTCCACATCATGTACATGATACAAAGAAGGATTCTTTCATGAATCATACTGCAATCATTTTCGAGAATGAATTAAGAGACATTATTTTGAGAGATAAGGAAGTAAAAATTAAAGTCCATCAAATGAAAGGTTTGGTGAAAATCACAATAGTAAATTTATAAAAATTTACAAGAATAAACTATTTTACAATTTTGTACAATTTCTTATGGAAAATACAATTTTTACAGTAAAATAGTTTTCTTACTGTATAATACGTCCTATAACTATTTTTTACATGACAACTTTACAACCTGATATACCTTGTATCCTTATATATACGTTATAAATGTAAAAAATAAACATTTAAGTACATAAAAATTGCATGTGCGTAGGTATAAACTTATTTATAAACTACTTTTATTAAGTTGTGAAATAAGTACATATTAATATACATTGTGAAATGTAAATTATATTTAAGAAATATAGATATTTATTTATATATTTATATATTAGATATTTATTTATATATTTATATATAAAGATATATATTATAAATTATAAAACAATATTTATAATATTGTGTATATATTTATAATACTGTAATATATTTAATATTATAATTAAAGCTTTATGAAGGCATTAACAATTTCTTTTTCTACTGAAGAATACATGTGTGTGCATGCATTGTGTATATGTGTGCATGCATGCATGCACACACTTGTCTATAGTTTGCTAGAATAGTCATTATTTAATATTTTACATATAAATGGCGCAACTTTTTCAGGATTATTATTATGAACGTCATGATTTCCATCTATATGAATTACTTCTAACATGGTTTTAGCCTTTATTGTTTCCAATAGTGACATAAAAATTTTTTTATGTGGAAAAATAATACCGTCAGTTGAAATGAAGAGGTATATTGGAACTGAAAGCATCCCGTTAAACTTCTGACATTCATTTATCTGTAGAAATGAAAAAGGGTAATTTTTTAATCGTATATCTCTGTTATAGATATACTTTCCATTTACTTCTAATACTGTAACTGCTCGCTCAAACAATGCATCAGCAGCTTCAGAATTCAAACTTCCAATCCTCATAGTCTTAAGAGCATGTAATATTTCTTCTTTAGTAAAAGACAACGATTTTTCTTTATGATAAGCTTTTACTGAGAATGCAGATGCATTCTTAACATAAGTTACAAATTCGTTATTTGTAGGATTCATAAGAAGCCCATCAAAAGAAATTAACTTCTCGATTCTGTTTGGGTGAAAAGTACTGAATATTATACCTATTTGTGCTCCCAAACTGTGTCCTATATAAATAAATGTTTTCCATTGAAGCGCTTCTAAGATAAAATATAATGCATGTGCATAATCAATAATATCTAATATCATCCAAGATGGAAAATGTGATGACCATCCATGGCCAGGTAAATCTATGCATACATAATAAAATAATTCTTTTGGTAAATATTTTATCAATCTAGTAAACGATCCTGCGTTATCTAGACGACCGTGTACTACTAAAACTGGCTTTCTTGTGGGAGAACCATAAGTTCTGGCAGCAATATGACCCCAAGGTACAGAGAGTTTTATCTCTGTAAACTGTTGGTCTACTTCTGTCATTTCTGTTGCTTTACTCTTACAATGTACGTCTTGTTGAATAACGTATAGAAATCTTGTTTACTGAAACAATACATTTAAAAGTTTGTACTTGCAGAGTAGTTTGTAAAGATTCGAGCTCTACTATTGTAATTAACATCGCAAACATAAATTTTATTGCAAATTCTTTGTAACTTCATATTTAACAAAACTATATTTCTTAATTTTATGAATCAGTGATGTGCAACCTTTTTTATGGATTGTCATTATTTTTAGAAATAGATAAAATCTTTCAGGTTACACAATGTTTATTTCATTATTATTTATATAAAGTAGAAAATATAATGTTATATTTTTGACCACGAGTTGGCAGGCTGCAAAAAATTCGCGGTGAGTATCACTGGTCTAAATGGAAGATACATAGAAAAATGATAGAAAAGTTAAAATAGAGCTTACCTCTTGCACACACAGAGTAATTTGGATTAATTTATGAAATGATGTCACAATTATGTCACTAAGGTAAGTAAACGCTGCTAACGATGTACTTATAGTCACTCGAGTCACTAGTTGAATGTGCAGGAAGGGAATAAATTCGATGTAAATGTTCTTATATATATATATAAATATGATTTTCATTCAAAATTCCTTATTTGACATTTACTTAAGAGTTATATTTGTCTCTGATTTATTATTTCTTCACGGTCAATTTGTCCTTATTTCCAATTTATCCAATTTATCTATTTTTTATCTTGTAAAAGTTATCTATTTACGAAGAAAGAGAAACATTACAAGTGTCACATGATTTGACTTTGATGAAAAACATATAAAAATTTATTTTAAATTAATTCTATATATTTGTTAGTAGTCTAAAGGTGCGTCCAGACTATCGAGCGGCGAGCCGAGCCATGAGTCAAACCTATGTTCCCATTCAAAGCTCTGATGTAAACCTATATTTATTTTGATAATGTGGCTGTAGGCCTGGCTCTTACAGCTTGATAGTCTGGACTACAGATCCTTTAGGCCTTTAATCAGAGACTGGCAATAAGGATTTCGTCAAATTTCTCCAAGCGAGAAAGGAGTATAGGCTATCTCACTCTTCCACCAATAACGGTGTGTATACACCATGCATGCACACCGCAAGAGTGAGATAGCCTATACTCCTTTCTCGCTTAGAGAAATTTGACGAAATTCTTATGGCCAGTCTCTGATTGAAAGGTCTCTGAAAAAAAATCTTTAGTCTGGACGTACCTTTATGCAAGATTATCACCGATCCGGTCATTGCCAGCCATGATATAAGAAGGAACTTACATAATCATGTGATGACAATCTATTAATAGTATGTTGATATTATATACCAATGTTGATGTTTCTCGTTTTTTCAGGCGAATAATTAATTATATAACATTAGATAACAACCTTGAAACAGACTCGATAAATCGATCAATATAAAACACACGATGACATTATAATGTATTTTTCTCATTAAGGTTGCAACAGAATATAAATGATAATTTTATCTACATATTATAATAATTCTAATTTTGCCTGAATATTCAATTTATGTATTTTATTATACTTTTAAAATAGAATATTTATCTATAAATTTCCAATATATAAATTTTTTAAAAATATAAAATTAATTATTATCTGTTAAATAATATAAAATTTTCTTTAAATTTCTTTTTTTTTTCAATTTATTATATTTAATTTCTAATGCAGATTTTTATATAATTTTATTATATCTAATATGAATTCAGTTGAACCTGTGCATATTACAATCATTGTACGGTCAGGGCCAAAAGATTACAACACTTTTTTTCGATGGGTTTCGGAATGCAGCCTACTCACCGAGCGATTGGTTCTTATTTGTCGATTCATGAATAAGAAGCAATGGCTGCGTTTAGTACTACAACCGCTCAATGAGCGCTTGCATTTTATTGACATATTTCCGTTAGAACTAAAAATATAGATCAAACAGATACAAGGAATGCATTCAGTACCACGACTGCTCACTGAGCAACATATTTCCGTTAGAACTAAAAATATAGATCAAACAGATACAAGGAATGCATTCAGTACCACGACTGCTCACTGAGCGCTCAGTGAGCGGTCGTGGTACTGAATGTACCCAATCGCTCGGTGAGCAAACTACATTCCGAAACCCATCGAAAAAAAAGTGTTGCAACCTTTTTGGCTCTGACCATACACTGATGGCGCGAAAATGCGGAAAATCGTAACCAATCAGAAGCGATCCGCTGTTATGGTTTCGCGTTTTATCGATTACTGATTGGTTGCGCGTTTCCGCGTTTCCGTGTTTTCGCGCTCATGCACCCTTGATCTGACAATGAGTGTAAAGGCGCGTTCACACCTTGACGGAAAAACAGAAAGTAGAAAAGTAGTGGCTAATCACAACTCGCGCTGGTAGTAAGTACTACAAAAAGCCGAAATTGTCGAATACCAGCGCGAGTTCTGATTGGCTGCTACTTTTCCGCTTTCTGCTTTTCTATCAAGGTGTGAATGCGCTCAAGGCTGGAATCAGACTATGCATTGAAGATTGAGATTGAAGAGTGAAGATTGAAATTTGATCAATGAGGACAAAGGGATTTTAGCTTCTATTGTTTTGATTAGTCAAATTTCAATCTTTCAATCTTCAATCTCAATCTTCAATGCATAGTCTGATTTCGGCTTAAGGCTGCGTCCCCATGGAGAAAGAAACAGTGGAACGGAATCAGAACGGAATTTAACACAAAAGAGATAGGATGAGGATATGTGTGAAGCCACAATAGAAGGAATAAGGAATTAGGAATAAGAAATAAAGATTTCAACCTATCAGATATCGGATATATCGGCATACATGGTTTCTGATAGGTTGGAATCGTTATTCCTTATTCCTAATTCCTTATTCCTTCTATTGTAGCTGCACCTTAACTCTCATTTCTATCAATATTCCGTTCTGATTTCATTCCGCTATTTCTTTCTCCATGGGGACTCAACCTAAAAGTGAAATGCAAATATTTCGAATTATAAAACACATATTTTACTTAATTGCACACAATTAACAGCACAATAAAATGTATGAATCAATAGATGTCAGAGTTTAAGGATGAAATTACACGGTGCAGAAAAAGACTGCGGAATAGAGAATGCGTCATTGAAGCAACCAATCAGCGCTATTCGGAATAGCTATTCCGAATGATGCATTCTCTATTCCGCAATCTTTTTCTGCACCGTGTGATTTCATCCTAACCTATTTTTATATTTGTATCAGACCATGGTTGCGTTCCGTTACACGCGTGATGTGCATAAGTCCTAATCTACAATAGTTGTTTTAAGACTTAAGTCGTAAGAAATTGACCAATTACAGTCGAATCCGAGAGGAATAATCGACTGTGATTCGTTCATTTCTTATGGCTTAAGGCTTAAAACCCTATTGTAGATCCGGGGTAATGCATCATTTATCCTGGTTTAACCAGAGAGAAGCTATGCCCGGGATTTAGCTGCAACCTTATTTTGAAGCGCCTCTGTATCCACAAAACAGGGACATTGAACTACGTAGCCAATGTCCACGATTTTTTTATTGTATTCTTCGCTATATCCACGATTTTTTCGGTTCGTTAGATAGACAAAGACGAACAATCGTTTGTTCAACAAGCGCCGACAGATTGATTGTTCATCTTTATCTATTTAACGGATCGAAAATCGTGGACATAGCGAAGAATACAATCAAAAAATCGTGGATATTGGCTACGTAGTTCAATGTCCACGTTTTGTGGACATAAAGGCCTTCAAAATAAAGTTGCGGCTAAATCCCGGGCATGGCCACTCTCAAGCTAGTTCTACATTAGTCGCATCGCAGCGTCGTAAGCGTGTCGCAAGCGTTGCGGTCCAATTAGAGTCAAGTTAGCTTGACGTTGATTGGACCGCAACGCTTGCGACGATGCGATGCGACTAATGCTAGATTCACACTGCATTCGATTTTCG